GTATCTGTGATTGGAGCTACTGACTTATTTTACGCAAGGCATTCAAAAATTAGGCTAATAATACCTGTCTTAAACTTAATTCTTATAAGTCTACATAGAATGATCAACTGTCAGTTTCACTAATTCAGTAACAGGATATAGCCCAATCATGGACCCCTAAGCGTACAGGGTCGGCAGCCGTTAACTCCTTATGTCTGTAGTCTTGAAATACGCCACTCGGACTTCAAATACAGAATGCGGCCGTAAGTTACAGACCCAAAAACTGCGCACTCAAACCTTGTAAGTCTGTTTCCGTATATGGGGTTCAATAGCAATATATATGAGACAGTGACACTGTCTGAACGGAAAAAAACAGATTCTCTAGTTCGATGATTCAGTGAGCAGTGCAACCTACGGCAGTACTCGCGAGTATGCATGGCAGTTAGAATGGACAGAAAAGTACCCGGGCTACGTCCAGTCAAATCCTGTTCCACTGATAGAGGTCTGATTCGATCTTTAAGTTAACTGGCCTGTTTCGAAAGCTGTGATTGGCTGAGGACACGGCCGTCACTGTCTACAGGTGTAAGTCCTCGCGAGGGACGCAGTGTGTTAGTTCGACCATCTAAATCGTTGAGATCAAGGGGATATGAGCCCCGGCATTGGCTTTAATCAGCGTCACCGCTGACCAATGGTAGCGTCAGTGTTAGAGCCAGTACTACTACACTTCTTGCTGAGATTGAGGCGATATGTACCCAGTGTTGACTTTAATCAGTGTCACTTCTGACTAATAATGCAGCCAGAAATAGTATCAGCAATACTATTACTCGACTACAGCCCTAGTTAGTAGTATAACAAATGGCAGTAGTAGCAGTACCAGCCTTGGTTTCCTTGAGTGAAGGTAGATAATGCAGTAGTACCATCGCAAAAGACAACTGCCACTTAAGACTAAGGAGGCGGTGTTCTGGTCTGCATTGGTGAAAGGAGCCAACGCCGGGTCCCGTTTAGTCTTCTTGACTCCGGACGAAGGTAGGGAGTGCGGTTGGCGCTAAGTCCCCTATCAGTTTAAAGCTAACCCCTGAGGCCGTCACCTTCTGTACCAACCTGTTGGTGTACTCGGTGGACTTCATCAAAATCGATGGTCGAACACACAGAGACACACACTGTCACCAAGTTGTGATACCTAAACTGCAAATTGCGAGACCTAGCTACTTCTCAACCGCCTGCTTTATGAACACATATAAGTACCTTAAAACTGAACTTTTTTTAGTTTTTGTGCAAACACCCAATGGGTTGCGACATGGAGTCCTGCAGTCGAGCACTGGTACGCAGCTTCTGCGAGAAAATGACCGAGGTAGCTACCAAGCACTGTGACTGCACTGATCAGGAATACAACGCAATCATA